GCGGTGACTCGCCCACCGCGCAACTCTCCGTCGGCTTCACCAGTAACCGTCCGCCCCCATGTCAAACTGGTCGTAGGCCCAGCCTTGTGGATCAGGTCCTCGGCGATCAGGTGCGCGTCCTCCCGCGCGATGTGGGCCTCGAGCACCTCCAAGGCACGGTCACATGTGTTGCCGTAGATGCCCAGCACGTCGAGGCCTGCACGGAGCAGCCCAGCAACCTTCTCACAGGCTGGCGCAGCCCTGCCCACTCTCGCCTCAAGGGCGGCTGGCGTGAACCCGGCGGCGGCTCCGCGACTCCCATGGGGCGGGGCAGACGGCTGCGACGTCGGAGGGCTGAATCCTCCCGCCGTCTGCCCGCTCGAGGCCGTCGGGGGGACGCCTCGGCGGTCCCGACCGCACCTCGGCCCAGGAGCGGACCCGCTTTGCCGCCGTGGCTCTCCTCGCGTCAGGTGCCAGGTCGGCCAGTCTGACGGCGGCGGAGGCGGCGCGGGTCCCCAGGCTGTCGCCGCAGCCGAGCGGCTAGGAGCGACGAGGGCCCATAGGAGCGTAGCCCCCAGCAGCTGCCAGGGTAGCCAGGGCCTGGTCATCCTCGTGCTCGTCCCTGGCATCCTCAAGGATCCTGCGCTCGGCCTTGCCAGGCTGGGGCCAAGCGCCGAGCGCAGCGCCTGACTGCCCGCGGGCGGCGGCCGGCCCGTAGGGCCCCACTGCTGGGCTCGCCCGCTGGGTGGGCGGGCCTGGCCGCACCTGCTGCCCTGCGGCCTCCGCTGGCGGCCGCTGCACTGCGGGGGCGGAGGCTCCAGCGGCTGGGGCGGGGGGGCCTTCCTCGTCGTCGACGGCGAGCCCGTCCCCGCCAAGGCCGTCGGCCCAACGCGAGGCTGCGGCAGCAGGCGCAGCGGGGTGGAGCATGTCCGAGATGGCAGCGCTCTGCGTGGCAATGATGCCCATGATTTCCAGGAGCCTGGGCGCGACGCCGTCCGCGTTGCGGCCGAGCATCTCCCCCAGCTGGCTGACCTGGGTGACGAGGCCCCCGACCGCGGTCTCGAGGGGCTGCTGGCCTCCGCACACCTCGATGGCCCGCTGGAGCGCCTGCTGGACTGTCTGAGCCTTCGACTCCTCGAGCTTGACGAGCAGGCTGTCAAAGTCCTCGACCGCGGACTCTGTCTCGGCCAGCTCTTCCTGTATCGCCGCAATCCTCCCTCTGAGGGAGTCAGCCCGCTGCACGGCCTGCTCGCGCTTGGCTCTGGTTGCAGCGATCTGCTTCTCGACCTTCTGCATGTCGTTGGCGCCGCCGTGGAGGACGGCGTGGGGGGGCCTCCCGAGCCGCTGGGCCTCGCGGAGCTCGGCCTCTGCCCTCTCGGCCGAGGCCTCCGCCGCGAGGAGGGCCGCCCTGGCCTCTCGCTGGAAGGCCTCGCTGGTCTCCTCCATGGCGACCGCCTCGCGGAGGCTGGAGATGCGAGCCTGGGCTTCCTCGAGCCTGCGCTCCAGACTCGACGCAGGCTCCTCTGGCTGCTCCCCGCGCTCCTCACGCCATGGCGGCGGCTTGGCACCGCCCCGCGGCCGCCCCCTGCTGTTGGGCGCGCTGCTCGGCACGGTGCTGGCTGCCGAGGCTGTTCTGGAGGCGTCACCAGCTCGGCGCGCAGCACGCTGGTGCGAGCGCCCTCTGGGCTGCTGGACGAAGCCCTCCCCGTCGGCCTGGGGCAGGTGCGCCGCGCGCAGGCGCTTCGCCCACGCTGGCGCCTCCTTCCCGCACGACTTGCAGGTCGCCCGCCTGTCGCACCAGTTCCACTCCTTGCACTGGCAGACCCAGTACACCCTGCGCCGCGGCGCTCCAGTCCCGCCGCCCGACATGGCTGCTGGCCCCGCGCGATCCGCCTGGCCACGCTGCATCGGAGAAACGAAGCAAGAAGCTGGCCCAGGGCGCGGCGTCCCTCGCGCTCGACAGCGCCCGAAGGACTTGCGGTCGTCGGGATCGCCATGGCCTTGAGCCAAAATGGCTACGGATCGTCGTCGTCGTCGTCGTCGTCGTCGTCGTCGTCGTCGTCGTTGTCGTCTTCGTCGTCGTCGTCGTCCCTCCTCCTGCTCCTGCGCCCTCCTCCTTCTCCTCCTTCCTCCTCTTGCTTTCTCCTCCTCCTCCTCCAGCCTCCTCCTCCTCCTCGCCCTCCTCGACTTCCTCCTCCTTCGCCCGCGCGGTCCTTTCATTCCTCCTGCTCCTCCTTCCTTCCTTTTCCTCCTGCTCCTCTGGTCTTGCCCTTCCTTTTCCTCTTGCTCCTCCTCCGCCTCCTTCTTTTCCTCCACCCCGCGCGGGAGCGTGCGCAGGCGGACGAGGGGGAAGAAGGGGGAAGCATGGGGAGGAGGAGGGAGGCGAAAGAGGACGAGGACGACGAGGACCACGACAACGATGCGAGCCGTGGAACGGCCCTTCTCCTCTTCCTCCCCCTCCCTCCCTCCCTGACTCCCGCCCTCCTCCCTCTTTCTCCCCCGCCCTCCCTCCTCCTCCTCC